GCCCTGGTAGGTGGAAGATGGGAAAGGGGCGGAAAGGGAGGAACGAGAGTAGAAAGGGCATGGGTGAAGGTGGGTTGCTGCCTGTTGGCGCTGGTCCATCCATACGAGCACAGCACGATTTTCCCTGCGATCTTGGTGGCGTTCAGTGCGCCTGCAAAGCAGTACTGGCCCTGGTAGGTGGGGTAGGCGAAAGGAATGAAAGGGAGGAACGGGAGGAGAAAGGGAATGGATGAGGGATGGGTTGGCGCTGGCGCTGGTCCATCCATACGAGCACAGCACTATCTTCCCTGCGATCTTGGTGGCGTTCAATGAGCCTTCCTCCATAGTAGTACAGGCTCTGGAGGTTGGGGGATGCAGGGGAGTACAGACCAGTGAGTAGTGAGTACCGAGCCAAAACCGTACAGCCTCACAAGTCACGACCCTGCCTGAAAGCCATCCAGCCACTGAAATTCAGTCAGGCACATCTGCCCTTCCCCGATCTCGCCTCGGTCTCAGTCTTCCCGGCTGCCCGCACTGCAACGCCATCCACCAGCCCCAGTCTCTGCACTCCCACGTCCTCCAAGCCAAACCCATACACTGATGCTCACCTACTGCTTCCCCAATCTCACCTCGGTCTCAGTCTTCCCTGCTGCTCTCCCTGCAACGCCATCCACCAGCCCCAGCCTCTGCACTCCCACGTCCTCCAAGCCAAACCCATACACTGATGCTCACCTACTGCTTCCCCACGCCTACCTCGGTCTCAGTCTTCCCTGCTGCCCGCACTGCAACGCCGTCCACCAGGCGCAGCCTCTGCACTCCCACGTTCCCCGAGCCAAACCCATAGAGCTTCACCACCCGCCCGTCGCCCAGAGTGGCTGAAGAGACGTAGCTGCGAGCAATGGTGCTGCAGGGGGGAAAGGGGGAGGGGGAAAGGGGAGGGAAAAAGGGGGAGGAGAGGTTGAGACCGGACGGCACAAAGCCGTACAGCTTCACGACTCGCCCGTCGCCCAGCGTGGCTGAAGAGACGTAGCTGCGAGCGATGGTGCTGCAGGGAGGGAGCGGAAGAGGCAGAGGAGGGAGGGGGAAGAGGGGGAGGAGAGGTTGGGGCCTGAAGGCACAAAGCCATACAGCCTTACAGCCAGCCTGTCGCCCCGCGTGGCTGACGAGACGACACATAGCTGCGAGCGATGGTGCTGCACTGAGGGAGAGGAAGAAGAGGGGAGGGAAGAGGGCAGGCGGGGATGGGATAGAATGAACACATAAACCATGGCCTTCACTTGACACTCGCCCATGACCTGGAATTAACACATAGCGCCTCTCTTCTAACGGCTCCTGAGCACTCACCTGGCGCCAACAGAAAAGCACTTGAAACACCAACAGAAAAACACCTGAAATTTTACCTGGAGCCAACAGAAAAACATGGAAACCCACCTGGCGCCAACAGTGAGGTAGAACGGCGAGAAGTTCGAGATGCTGCGATACATTGAAGAGGTGAGAGGAGGCGGACCGGAGTTACCCGCAGCATAAACCACCACCGTGCCGGCCAGATTCGCGTATAAATACGGCAGATCGCTGAAATACGTGGCACTGGGGTCTGCACCGCCCAGGGAGAGCGAGATGACGTCAACCCCGTCAGCGACAGCCGCGTTGACTGCTGCCTCCACGTCAGCATACGTGGCAGTGGTCCCGCCTGCGTTGGCGTTGCCCCAGAAGACCTTGTAGGCTGCGAGGAAGGCTCGGGGTGCCATGCCGGTGGCGTTGCCGATGGTTGTCTTGCGGGGAGGGAGCACAATGGGCACGTTGCTGTTGCCTGCTGCCGCTCTGCATTATTGAGAGGGAAGGAGGGGTGGGATAGGCAGGCAAAGGGGTTAACCAGCGGAGGGGGGTCAAAAAGACACTGAACGTTCCAACCATACAAGCATGGATGAACCTAAGGAAAGGGGGGGGGGTGACAGAGAAAGAAAGTGGACTTTGTGGGCTAATCAGAGGAAAGGCCAAAACGTCCTGTGATGGCAGTGGTGGTGCTGACATCTGCAGTGGAACATGGACAGGAGAAGCAAGTCAGCATTGCGGTTCAGAATGTCGGAAAAGTAAAGGAGGGAGGGAGAGACAAGGGGGTATCGATCACTCACGATGCACACCAGGTGCCGTGCCCATCCGCATCTCGAGCCGACGCCCAATCAGCTCGCAAGTCTTCCTGCCCGAACCACGCCCGGAACCCGGCGCTAAAAAATCTCGCGCCAATCACCTTTCTGTTGCACTTAAAGTCAGATGTCACCTGACAGGTGCCTTTCCAGGTAGATGGAGGGTTACGGTACGCAAGTTCGGGTAGGGTAAAATTTGAGGAAAATGACGGGTGTTCCGGCCAAATACCCGTGTCGACTATTCCGACCACCACGCCCTCCCCTGCCCGCTCGCGGCCCCGGGCAGTCCAGAGAGTCCCGGGCAGGTTTAAAAAGTTTGCAGAGTCGGTGGTGAGCTTGCTGATTCGGTAGTTGGACTTGACTTCTGCAACTGCTGGGTGCCGCTTCAGCTGCTGCAGCTGCTTAGGTGTCAATCGCGCCACAAAGGCATTGCTGACGTGTTTGAATCTGGAAACGATGGGGGGGAAGTGGGCAGAAGTAAAAAGAGTGATGAGCTGGCACAGGGAAAAAATAGGTTTGAAAAATCGAGTGCAGTGCATCTACAGTAGCGTATTAGCTCCTATTGATTGTTACAACTCACTTGTACAGTACATTCGCGCGCGGCAGACGCACGTCATTCGCAACTCCATCCTGCAAGCGATCGAGCCACTGCTTGAACTGTGCGACTGCTGGCGACCCCAGGTTCATTCGCGTCGCTTGGCGATTCGCTCGGCGACGACCCCTGCGAATCCGGCCGGCCACTGAATTGATGACGTCAGACACAGAGTCTCTGACAGCCTCCGCTGCAGTGGCGGCAATCCCGTTGATTCCGCCCGTGTATCCCGCGATTGGCGGGGCGGCGCGAAGGCGGACGATGTAAACGTCAGATACGGAAGAAGGAATAACCTTGTCGACTGGTTTGTCCAGTAGCGGAATATCCGGCGGGTTTCCCGTTACATTGGAGGCCGACCCGTTAAAGGATTCTTCTGGCGTTTCAGGAGTCGGCGCAGGTTGCGATTCAGGCGCAGTTTCAGGTGGAATTTCAGGTGCGGGCGGCGGAGCGGCTTCCGAGGCGTCATTTTGCGATGGTTGCTGGGGCTCCAAGATGATATCTGATTGGTCAGCTGCAAACGAATCGAATTTTGGAATCAGGAGCATGATAAGGCATACGCATGACAATCGGACACATTGCGGCAGCAGAACAAAAAATCCCTTAAATCACAATGGTCAAGCTCTCACCTTCTTGCCCGTAAACGAGGCTGCTTCTGGCGAGGATAAGTAGTGCAAGCAGGCAACCCACGCTGGCCCTTGACCAGGAAACTGAGCGACATCGACAAATCTCCATCGCACGCAATCCTTTTTCCGCTAAGTTCAGATCCTCCGCACCAGCTCCTGTGGAGACGCCTCAAAAAGAACCTTCCGTACCCGGTCCGATGACAACTTGCGAACTTACTAGTCGTCCCCGGTTATCTGGCAGTTTTGGTACTGGAGAATCTGTCCAGTGGTTTAACGGAAGGACAGAGAAGAACGAATCTCCGATTCTAGTCTTAAATGAAATGACAACCTTCTGAAAAATAGTGAGCGAGAATCAGAAGCCTTGTCTGATCTCGAAGTATGGCTCAAGCGAGACGGATTTAGGGTTCGCTGAAATTGGATCTCGTGACATATGCCACCGACTGCTATCAAAGTAGTAGGCAATGGCGTGAAGAGACCTTTGTCTCTTCTCTTGCGTCGTCGCCGATAACAAATTTCGTTGCTTCTAGCGACGCGCATTCGTACTTCTACTACTAGTAGTACTTGAGAGACGAGCATCGCCATTGACGCTTCTTGGCTTGGCTAGCCAAGAAGCACGTTTCTCCAAAGCGGCGCGGATATCGCCAGCCTAGCTACGAGCTGCTGCCAACTAAGATGCTGCGCCCAATCTCCAGCACCAGGCTTCTGCGCCTCGGGCCTCCAGCAGGAAACTCTGCAAGCTAGTTGCTGCAATATTATTTTGACTGTTGGGGAAAAAATCACCTAGAATCACAGCACACCAATGACGTGGCGAAACGAGGCGCAGGTGAAATGCGCAAACTAGTGTGGGGAGGGGAGGGAATTCCCCTCCCTTCTCTCCCCCCGCCCACCCCCCCTGCTTCGCCCAAATTTCCAACTCTACCTCCCCAGCCTGCCTGGCCGTGCGCGCAGCCCTCACGCATCCTCTCTCGCGCCGGTGGCATCGCGCCCACTTGCTGCGCTTCGGATGCCTATGGCGACTGTGGGATGGCGAATGACCGAGCAAAACGATCTGCCCGTGTAGCGAAACTCATCGTTGTCGTTTGTATTTTCGTCGAATATATCCGAATTTACCTCAAGACGGTTTCCGCCATCTCTGGCAAAAGCACTTGATCGAACGGTGCAGATGGTTACGATGTGACTCTACAATAGTTAAGGACGCGTTTCAAGTAACACGGTCCAGGGGTCAAATCGGACAAGTTCGATTTGATACCGAGCCTGGCACAAAAAACGAGCTTCAAGGTGCACGTGTGACGCCAGAGGTTTCCTACGAAGTAGCATGTGAAACGCAGGGATTTCACCACATTTAATACCTATTTAACGAATTTCATATGTTTAGAACCTATTGTCACCATGTTGAACAGGATCGATCTAACAAATGACTCTATATTTATTAGCTGCATGTTCTGTTTCTAAAAGCAGCGTGCGTTTGTTATTACTAAGAGCTTCATAGATGCACCCAGCTCAAGCAACGAGGGCACACATTAGAATTTCTCAGGAAAATCATCAAGTCTCCACTTGACCCCCACCTACCCTGGCATCCCTGGCATTTCCCTGGCATTTAATCCTCTTCCAGCTAATGTAGTATATGCACAAGAGCAGTGAGTCAGTAAACAGTTGGTCGCTCTACTCCGCTTCCTTCACAGCATCCTGGGCAAAACCAGGCAGACGGAAAGAGGAAAAGCAGTAACACAACAGTTACATGGATACAGTGCGCAGTGTAGCTAATGGGTGGACAGTACAGCACATGACTACTTCTGGGACAGCTCAGAAGGCTACAGCAGCTACAAGAGTAACAGTGGGCACAGTAAAAAGAGCCGACGACTGGAAAGGAATACTGCTAAGTAGGAACTCTTTTACGGGCACTGCTATGCATGAACTCCACCCAACCCCTTACCTGCACGATTTTGGTGATATAAGTGGCCGCGAAGGCTGTGAGGGCCACCCCACCCAGCAGCGAATAGAGAGACGAGTCGCCCAGCAATGAGCTCCCACTCTCCGCCTCCTGACAGCGAGAAAAAAACAGGGAAATGGGTCTATTTTGAGGCGCCTAAGAAACGGGCCAAGAGATGAGTCCCCCAGCAATGAGCTTCCACTCTCCACCTCTTAGATTGTGAGAATGGAAGGCAGGGAGGAATGGGTTTGATAAACGGGGAGGAGAGGGGGGTGGGCCAAGGAGACAAACAGCAGTGGTAAGCGGGGTATGTAGTGCCTATGCCATCGTGCCAAATGGTTACCAAGCTCGGAAGCAGATGAAGGTCTGGTTTGATTAATCACAGAAAGCCACATTCTGATAAATGTGGACACAAAGAGAAGTCATGATGAAGTAACCCAGAATAAGATGCATCATAAGTGGACCTCAAGACCAAAGAAAGGCGTACCAGAAGGGAGCGGCCAAAGGATCCGGCGCTGACATACGCCCACGTGCCTGGCAGCATGCCAATCCACCTGGCGTGTGGTAACAGGGCAACACGGAGACAAAGTCGTAAGGTGAGGGGGTTACCCTTTGGACGGACACAAAAGGGGTAAACGGCTGACAAAGTCCCCTGTGCCAGGCACCTTGCCGATCCACCTGGGATCAAGAAGCCGTCCAGAGATGACGCGTGCCAGTGTGCTACTTCAGAAACAGCACATGGGTACGAGAGACCAGAGGCATGGTGCAGGGAGAGAGGTGATGCGAGAGGGGCTAAGGGAGAGGGGTGATGCAGGGAGAGGGGTGATGCAGGGAGAGGGGTGATGCAGGGAGAGGGGTGATGCAGGGAGAGGGGTGATGCAGGGAGAGGGGTGATGCAGGGAGAGGGGTGATGCAGGGAGAGGGGTGATGCAGGGAGAGGGGTGATTCAGGGAGAGGGGTGATGCAGGGAGAGGGGTGATGCAGGGAGAAGGGTGATGCAGGGAGAAGGGTGATGCAGGGAGAAGGGTGACGTAGGGAGAGGGGTGAATCGACAAACCTACAGCAACATGCGAGACAATCTGCACGAGGACATACGTTCCAAAGATGTATGGAAGAAGTCGGAAGTGAGCCCGTAGAAGTAGTTCCCGAGGGAGAACGGCATGAGGGGGCTGAGGCGCAGCAGAGTGACGATGGGATTGTGGTGATGCGTACAACAGTCCAAACAAGCCCACATAAAAAACTTACGTTCCGAAGATGTATGGGAGAAGCTTCACGGAAGTGAGCCCGTAAAAGTAGTTCCCGAGGGAGAACGGCATGAGGGGGCTGAGGCGCAGCAGAGTGACGATGCGGAACGAGTTGTTCCCCACTGCGCGGTCGATGGCTTCGTATTTCTTGTTACCTCGCACCATATCTTGAATGCGATCGCGCGCCACGTATCGCGCGATCAGGAACGCGATTGTGGCGGAAACCTGGGGCACGCGGGGAGAAAGGGAAGGGGGATGGTGGTGAAAAGGGGGGGAGAGAGCGAGGGAAGGTGTTAAGCGGAGGGAAGGTGTTAAGCGGAGGGAAAGGTCAGGGATGGCATTGCGGAGGAGCGAGAGAGGGGTTGTTCACGCACACGCAACAAGACCCCCCAACCGACTATCAAGAAACGTCCCTCTACTGTCACACCCGCAAAACAAACACAACCCCGCGCGTTACAATCACGCACCGTGCCAGAGAGGCTGCAGAGGAACGTGCCCATGACCGGGCCGAACAGCACACCAGCGGACAGCGTCAGCGGAATAGCCGGAACCGCGAGAACCTCGAGAAGCGAGTACCCTAGAACGAACGTCACGTATCCCCCGGATCCCGCTCCTTCAATGTACGTTGTAAAGTAATCAATCGCACCGGAGATTTCGTCCCTGTAGTAATACCCCAGAAGCGCCAGTGACGCGACGACGCTTACTATCAGTGCTCCCGCCGCCAGCGTGCCGCCGATCGCGGCTTCCTTGCTTACAACCTCGCCGTCCGAGTCGGATTCCATGCCAGCTGCCACGTCAGCTCCCACGTCACGTGGCTTCTCAATCGCCACGTCAGCAGGCTCTGAGTGGGTCGATATTGTCAGCGAGAACTTGGGAGAGGCATTCGCGTCTGCTTCTTGATGGGTAGAGTCGGGATTTAATTGATGAGCAGTCGCGTTTTGACGGGTCTCCCGAATGACGTCATGCGAGGAGACCCCATGGTTATCCTCGTTATAAGAGTCGTGATGAAAAGGTTTGATGTGCTTGACGCCGTTAGGGACATCCCAGAGTCTGTCAGTCTCGTGTCGTTTCCGTTCTTTTTGAAGAGCACAACGAACCGAGCTGTACCGAGCTGGATTGCTTTGAACCAATCTGTTCGGCAAAGTTCTGACATGAACGGTCGGAACGCGTTGCCAGGCCGAGACACATCGCTCACGGCGATAATCCGTTATGTGCGGTAGACTGATAGCCATGACATTAGAGCAGGCTTGTGGTGAACTGTGTGACTGCAACGGGGATTTATGTGCTGCTAAAGGAGTCCGCAAGGCGGTTTTGGCTGCTCCTGTCGCCATGGCTACTACTCGCGTTGAAGCTTAAAACAAGGAGATCAGCAACACACACGCGGGGTTCAGCGAACGGCTGTCAGTCGAAACAGTCTTGACAAGCAGCGGGAAGCGATCGGTTTCTGAGCAAAAGGGTCGTCGCTAGCTACACGGTCGGCGAGCCAAAGGGTGCTCAACCATACAAGCGAAGTGCAAGAAGCTCTGAAGATTTGAATTGCTGCAACCTGCTATGCTCCACCAAAGCAAGCTGGAGAGGGCAGCCTCCGCCTCCTCGCGCCCCGCAGAGTAGAATAATCAAGAACTGCGGGACTGACACTTTCCTTCAGTCACGGCTGGGAAAGGTATAGAGCGCGAGGATTTGGCAGTGGTCGGAGTGATGTGGGTGAATACGGGATGTTGAAATGATTTGATAAAATATAGGAACATCGATCTTGGACAACTTCGGCTGGCTGGGAGTAAAGTGTTGCGGCGGTGGTGGTTCGTAATCCTCGAGAGGACTTGAGTGAGCTTTGGATGTGCCTGTAGTGCGTACAGTTGGTTGCTCTCTTGGGAATATAGTCAACTTTGTGTGCACTCAACATAACAAAGGGTTGAGATTCGGCGATGCGATCAGCAGATTCCCTCGAAGCGGAAACGAACGGGTACGATGTCAAACGAGGGATGAACTTTCACGAAGCATGGGTGGATATGTGTACACACCGCGACCCCACCCATCGCAGCGTGTGATGATGGTGATGTGTTTGTGCGATCAGCGATGGTTGAAACCAGCACACGCGCGAGGTGTGTGAGGGACGAAAGCGAAGCGAATAGCGTGGCACGAGGTCTCAAAAGACGGGGACTGACAGCCAACCATGTTCTTTCGAACGGTGTGCGGATGGAAATGGATATCCACGTGGCATCGATTCATTGCCCCATGCACACGCTATGTTGTTGATGCTTCTTGACACACGGTGTCAGGTGGTCAACGCTGCGTCTGTTTCGTTTCGTGCTGACGCGTATCGGGTCATCGATGGTGGTCGAAGACCATCGATGATGCACACTTGGCCTCTTCACCGAGCATTTCGTGTGGGAAAAGGACATCACCACTAGCACCCGGCCACGTTGGCACAGAATCGACATCGGTAAGGGAATCGTTGGTGGCTTGAGATTCCACGCCCGCGGATCATGGGGTTGAATGGGGGAGTCTCACTGATATCCTTCTAGATCATCTATTGGTGAAAGTGATTGGCAGCTAATCAGAAAGTGCAATACCGAGATTTCCCTGACAGACCAAGGTGCTGGTGAAAGGTTGAGATTGTACCCAGATTCTAGCTTCACTACAACAGAAGAGTCTGATTCCTGAACATGTTCCTACAGTTACAACAGAAATAGATAACCCATCACCGGAGTGCAACTCACTCAAGCTAAACCTTCCATACATGATGGCCCCTACACAATCACAATCAGTATAACTTATGTGTTGAAACAAATGTAATGCTGCTAGTCCAACACGTTGAGAGGCCGAGTCTAAGTAACACCTCTTTATTGCCACACGAACACGATCCAACGTACGTAACCCACAACTACTGGAACCAGCGACCCACCTGGTATTGCTCCTGTTGCTCCTGCGGCTTTGCATCCACCTGGTCCTCTTGCTTTGCAATCTTGGGGCCTTTGAACCACCGGTGAGCGTCAAGAAACCACCATAGAAGAAACATGGCTACCACGACCACAATTCCCACAGCAGCATAGTTGAAATTCTCCGCCGTTACAGGATATTCAGTTGGGATAACGAAGACAACCATAGTGTAGACGACGTATGTGAGAGCGAGGACGTGGACGCACTTGCTGACAAGGGAGGAAGGGGAAGGGCAACGGGGAGGGGGGGAGGGGTGAGGTGGGGGGTGAACCGGGATGAACGGGGGAGGGAGGAGGGAGGGTGGGGGGCGGAATTTGTGAAGAGTTTTTCCGGGCACCTAAAACAAATGTTGACACACTCTGATATGAGAAAAAGGGAATGGGAAGGAAGCGGGAAAAGCGGGCTACAAGGAGTGTGAAAGTGAAGGTTGAGCTTCACATACCCCTCACTTGCACCTCGCTTGCCCTCTCTCCTCTCACTCTCTACCACCCCTCTCTCTCTCCACCACCTTCTCTTCTCCACCCCCCATCCCGTGCTCACCCGCCCGTGTGCCCGATGTAGTTGGGCAGATAGAAAGGCCCTGGAGCAAAGTTCTTGTCCGATTGGATAATCCGAAAAAAGACCGGCACTCCGTACGCGCCGAACCACCCCACCGTCGCCATCCCCGTCACCGCAAAAGCAGGGGACAGGCAGACATAACATCCCTAAATGGAGCACGAGGAATGAAACACCCAAAAGTACCCTCTCCCACCCCTCCTCTTCCCCTCTCTCCCATCCCCCTTACCCGCCTGTGTGCCCTATGTAGTTGGCCAGAAAGAAAGGCCCCGGAGCAAAGTCCTTATCAGACTGGATGATCCGAAAAAAGACCGGCACTCCGTACGCGCCGAACCACCCCACCGTCGCCATGCCCGTGACAGCAAAGTAGGCCACGGAGCCTCCGAGCAGCGGCACGAGGAAGAGAATGGCGATGGCGCTGGTGCACGCGATGGCGTTGACTGGCACCTTGCTGGAGTTCACTCGGCGCCACAGGAAGGAGAGAGGGAGACCGCGGTCGCGAGACAAGGCGTAACCCTGGGGAAAGCAGGGGAGGGGAGGAGAGGTGGGAAAAGCAGGGGAGGAGAGGAAGACCGCGGTCGCTAGCCATCCCGGTCGTCCCAGTGGTGAAAAGAAGCCTACTTTTGAGGCGCCTCAACAGTAGCCATCCCGGTCTTGGAAAACTTTTGAGGCGCCTCAAAAGACCACCCTGCAGTGGCTAGCCATCCCGGTCGTCCCAGTGCTGAAAGGAAGTCTACTTTTAAGGCGCCTCAACAGTAGCCATCCCGGTCGTCCCAGTGCTGAAAGGAAGTCTACTTTTAAGGCGCCTCAACAGTAGCCATCCCGGTCGTCCCAGTGCTGAAAGGAAGTCTACTTTTAAGGCGCCTCAACAGTAGCCATCCCGGTCGTCCCAGTGCTGAAAGGAAGTCTACTTTTAAGGCGCCTCAACAGTAGCCATCCCGGTCATGGAAAAGTAGGCCACCAAAGCAAAAGGAGAGAGGGAGGCCTAAAACACCACCGCACAGCACCACGCCATATCACACCACACACCACTCGTCAAGCTCACCACGTGGGCAGCAGCAAGTATGAGGGTGATGCTGGCGAAGAAGGAGATGAGAATAAAAGTAAAGAGCACCACCGCACCACACCACACTGAACCACACCACACTGAACCACACCACACCACACCAGATCACATCAGACCGCACCAGACCACACACCACCAATCCAACCCACCACGCGAGCAGCAGCGAGGATGAGAGTGATGGTGGCAAAGAAGAAGGAGATGAAGAAGAGACCCAGGAAGACACACGCACCCGTTCCGTTGCCGAATCTGAGAAAAGACAACAGGCAGGCATGGGAGGCATGCACGCAGAGTAGGGGGGGGGGGGGGGGGGGGGGGGGGGGGGGGAGGGGGGAGGGCGGAGGGAGGGCAAAATGGGGAGGAAGAAGGAGCCTGAGAGGGACCGTATTAACACAAAGGACCGTTCAAGAAAGGGGAGGGAGAACAACAACAGGCATGGATGGAGGGAAGGGGATTGAGATGAAAGCATTGTGGTGATGGTGGCAAAGAAGAAAGAGATGAAGAAGAGACCCAGGAGAACACACACACACGTACCCGCACCGTTGCCGTACCTGAGAGAAAAGAAGGGGTAGGGAACGGGAGGCATGCGCAGGGGGGGAAGCATAACTAGAAGAAGGAGATGAGGAAGAGACCCGCTCACAAACCCACCCCCCTCACAACCACCTTCCATAAAACACGTCCCAGAGGATTTCCACCTCTGCAAACCACCCCCATACCTCTGCAAACTTACCCAATACCTCTGCAACTCCCCCCATACCTCTGCAAACTTACCCCATACCTCTGCAAACTTACCCCATACCTCTGCAAACTCCCCCCATACCTCTGCAAACTTACCCAATACCTCTGCAAACTTACCCCATACCTCTGCAAACTCCCCCCATACCTCTGCAAACTCCCCCCATACCTCTGCAAACTCCCCCCATACCTCTGCAAACTTACCCAATACCTCTGCAACTCCCCCCATACCTCTGCAAACTTACCCCATACCTCTGCAAACTACCCCCATACCTCTGCAAACTCCCCCCATACCTCTGCAAACTTACCCCATACCTCTGCAAACTCCCCCCATACCTCTGCAAACTCCCCCCATACCTCTGCAAACTCCCCCCATACCTCTGCAAACTTACCCCATACCTCTGCAAACTCCCCCAATACCTCTGCAAACTCCCCCAAAACCTCTGCAAACTCCCCCCATACCTCTGCAAACTCCCCCATACCTCTGCAAACTCCCCCCATACCTCTGCAACTCCCCCAAAACCTCTGCAAACTCCCCCCATACCTCTGCAAACTCCCCCCATACCTCTGCAAACTCCCCCCATACCTCTGCAAACTCCCCCAAAACCTGCCAACTCCCCCCATACCTCTGAAACTCCCCCCATACCTCTGAAACCCCCCCCACACCTCCCAGACCCCCCCCACACACCTGCCTGGGAACCCACCTGCCATAGAACACGCCCCACAGGATCTGCACCTCTGCAAAGTCCCCTCCAGGTGATAAACGAGATGTTTTGAGAACAGGATCTGCAAAACATCTCTTGTCTCAAAACAGGATCTGCAAAACATCTCTTGTCTCAAAACAGGATCTGCAAAACATCTCTTGTCTCAAAACAGGATCTGCAAAACATCTCTTGTCTCAAAACAGGATCTGCAAAACATCTCTTGTCTCAAAACAGGATCTGCAAAACATCTCTTGTCTCAAAACAGGATCTGCAAATCATCTCTTGTCTCAGAACACGCCCCACAGGATCTGCACCTCTTGCAAAGTCCCCTCCAGTCACTGTGTCCTTTGCCGGTAGGTTGGCAGAACACCCGGAACACACCTGCCCCTCACAACCCACCTGCCTGGAACACACCTGCACCACAACCCACCTGCCTGGAACACACCTGCCCCTCACAACCCACCTGCCTGGAACACACCTGCACCACAACCCACCTGCCTGGAACACACCTGCACCACAACCCACCTGCCTGGAACACACCTGCACCACAACCCACCTGCCATAGAACACGTCCCAGAGAATCTGCACCTCTGCAGCGTCCCCACCAGTGACCGTGTCCGGTGAAAGCAGGTTCTTTGGGTCCTGCAAGTATGCATGCATGCGGGCAAGGCAGGCAGCTGCGGTGAGAATAAACTCTAATAAAACAGACGCCTCAAAAGTCCCCACCAGTGACCGTGTCCGGTGAAAGCAGGTTCTTTGGGTCCTGCAGGTGCAGGCAGCCACAGTGAAAGGGGAGAGGATCGGAATTTGAGACGTCTCAATAAGAGAATCGGCACCTCTGCCAAGTCCCCCCCTGTCGCCGTGTCCTTTGATGGTAGATTCCCAGGGTCCTGCATGCACATGCACCCACAGCGAAAGAGGGGAGGTACGGAGTTTGAGACGTCTTCTTCAAAGTGAATCTGCACGTCTGTCAAGTCAAGTCCCCGCCAGTGACTGTCATTTGGGTCCTGCGGAAGCAAGCAGGGAGAGAGGAGAGGCTAGGAAAGGAGGGGACGGGAGAGGAGGAGAGAGAGAGAGGAAAAGAGGATATTTGAGACGTGTCTATAAGAGAATCTGGATCTCTGCAAGCCGTCCTGTGCTGAGCTGACTCAGGAGCTGTGTTTCACCACCGCACCGCACCACACCGCACCGCACCACACCACACCACACCAAACACACACACCTGGATGCAGAAGGTGAGAGTCATGATGACAGACGCCCCACTCCACAAAGGAGATGAGCGAGAGGGCTGCTACCATGCGCTATGCTCATCCAAGAGGTGCCTTTTGAGTCGACTCAAAAATGGGAGATCACACCTTTCAGGTCAGCTCAAGGCCATTCACTCACCTGGATTCAGAAGGTGAGGGCCACGATGACGCCCCACTCCACGAAGAAGTGACTGAGAGGGTGGGTATCATCGCAAAGGGAGTCAGCACAGGTACATAGCAGCACTTGCACTGTCACTGCCCCTGTACTGACCGTACTTACCACCCATGTGAACCACACTGCACCCACCTGGATGCAGAATGTCAGTGCCACGATGACACCCCATTGCACAAAGCAGATGAGCGAGAGGGCGGCGATCATTGCAAAGGGAGTCGTCACATCGGACCGCTTCGCCTCTTCTGACGTGTGCGCCGCTGCGTCGAATGCGTAGAGCGCGTATTGCGACATGAGGAGGCCGGCTACCACCGCATATGCCTGGGAGCGGGATCAACCAAAAGGGGGAGGGGAGGGGAGGGGAGGGGAGGGGAGGGGAGCGATGGAGCGGACCGCTTCGCCTCTTCTGACGTGTGCGCCGCTGCATCGAACGCGTCGAGGGCGTATTGCGACATCAGCAGGCCGGCTACTACTGCCGGTCCACTTGGTCCACTTGGCCTCTTCTGTCGTGTGCGTTGCTCCATAGATTGTGTAGAGCGCGTACAGTGACATGAGGAGGCCTGCTACCACCGCGTATGCCTGAGAGTGGGGTCAACCGAAGGGGAAGGGAGGGAAGAAATGAAGTGGTCCACTTGGCCTCTTCTGTCGTGTGCGTTGCTCCATAGATTGTGTAGAGCGCGTACAGTGACATGAGGAGGCCTGCTACCACCGCGTATGCCTGAGAGTGGGGTCAACCGAAGGGGAAGGGAGGGAAGAAATGAAGTGGTCCACTTGGCCTCTTCTGTCGTGTGCGTTGCTCCATAGATTGTGTAGAGCGCGTACAGTGACATGAGGAGGCCTGCTACCACCGCGTATGCCTGAGAGTGGGGTCAACCGAAGGGGAAGGGAGGGAAGAAATGAAGTGGTCCACTTGGCCTCTTCTGTCGTGTGCGTTGCTCCATAGATTGTGTAGAGCGCGTACTGTGACATGAGGAGGCCTGCTACCACCGCGTATGTCTGGGATGGGAACAATATAAGAGAAGGGAGGGGAAGAGTAGGAGTGGTTTGGTGTTGCCGCTTCTCTTCTGACGGGTGCGCTGCAGCGTCGAACGCGCAGAGCATGAACACAGTGGTGAACTGAGACATGGGGGGACCTCCAGCCACCACTGCGTATGCCTGCATCGAATGCATCATGTGCGTTCTGAGAGACAAGACGAGGCCAGTTGCTACCGCGTTTCCATGAACACGGGAGGGGAGAGAAGAGATACGGGAATCAATCACGCTAGCTGACGGGAAACCCCCGAAGAAGAGTACCCGAACAAGTTACCGCATGGGCCATGTACAATTTGATTTGACTTTTGAGTTGACTCAAAAGTCATCCCCCGGAGTAGCGTACCCGAACAAGTTACCCCATGGGCCAGCCATGTACACCTCGGTTTGACGATGTGGTAAGATTGGGCAAAGCTTACCCCGTTGGGGATGCCTGTGACGCTGTACTGAGCTTCAAATTCAAAGTGATGCTGGCTGGCTGGGGGTCTTTGCGACAGCAGGAGGAGTGAGTATAAGCACCAGTGCCACCAGGAATAAGAGACTCACCCCGTTGGGAATGCCTGTGATGCTGTATTGCACCTCAAAGTGGCCGAAGACCCACGAGGCAGGCTGATGGGTCTCTGCGACAGCAGGGAGCGTGATTATGAACACGAATGCCACCAGAATCTGGTGGAGCAAGTAAAGGGGAGGGAGGAGGGAGGACAAAGCGGGAACAGGGTGAGTGATTATAAACAGCAGTACCACTAGGAACTGGTGGACCATGGGGCGGAGAGGGCAGATGTATTACCTGTAATATATATATTTTAATGTAGAAAATATCCTCTCTCACCTGCCCTGCAGCACCGTCCACGTGTATGGAGAAGTGGTCTGAGACGTCTCAAAGCAGATGGGGGAAGAGAAGAGGGAAAGAGGGCGCCCCCATTGATAACCCACCCCCCATTGACAACCCACCCCCCATTGACAACCCACCCCCCATTGATAACCCACCCCCCATTCAACGTTCATGTAGAAAATACCCTCTCTCACCTGCCCTGCAGCACCGTCCCGACTGCCAAGACTTGCCCCACGCGCTTTACGGGGAGCACGTTGATGGCTGCACAGACCAGGATGAGTGGTGCTGGGTTGAAAACTCATACATACGTCACACCAGTCTGTCTGTACCACTCATGTATACTCCCCCTCTCACCTGCAGCAACGTCCCGACTGCCAAGACTTGCCCCACGCGCTTGATCGGGAGCACGCTGATGGCCGCACAGACGAGAAAAGACTTGTGATGGGGTGATAGCTTTCACATACGTGACACACCTGCAACACTCATGCACAGTCGGTCTCTGCCTCTCACCTGCAGCACTGTCCCGACAGCCAGAATTTGCCCCACGCGCTTGGTGGGAAGCACGTTGATTGATCCACAGACGAGGATGAGCGCCACACAGACAGAGGCAGATCGGTGCATGTCTGCCTGTACCTTGTGTGCCTCTATCCCTCACCTGCAGCACTGTCCCGACAGCCAGAATTTGCCCCACGCGCTTGATGGGAAGCACGTTGATTGATCCACAGACGAGGATGAGCGCCACACAGACAGAGGCAGATCGGTGCATGTCTGCCTGTACCTTGTGTGCCTCTATCCCTCACCTGCAGCACTGTCCCGACAGCCAGAATTTGCCCCACGCGCTTGATGGGAAGCACGTTGATTGCTCCACAGACGAGGATGAGCGCCACACAGACAGAGGCAGATCGGTGCATGTCTGCCTGTACCTTGTGTGCCTCTGTCTCTCACCTGCAGCACTGTCCCGACTGCCAGAATTTGCCCCACGCGCTTGATGGGAAGCACGTTGATTGCTCCACAGACGAGGATGAGCGCCACACAGACAGAGGCAGATCGGTGCATGTCTGCCTGTACCTTGTGTGCCTCTGTCTCTCACCTGCAGCACTGTCCCGACTGCCAGAATTTGCCCCACGCGCTTGATGGGAAGCACGTTGATTGCTCCACAGACGAGGATGAGCGCCACACAGACAGAGGCAGATCGGTGCATGTCTGCCTGTACCTTGTGTGCCTCTATCCCTCACCTGCAGCACTGTCCCGACAGCCAGAATTTGCCCCACGCGCTTGTTGGGAAGCACGTTGATTGCTCCACAGACGAGGATGAGCGCCACACAGACAGAGGCAGATCGGTGCATGTCTGCCTGTACCTTGTGTGCCTCTATCCCTCACCTGCAGCACTGTCCCGACAGCCAGAATTTGCCCCACGCGCTTGATGGGAAGCACGTTGATTGCTCCACAGACGAGGATGAGCGCCACACAGACAGAGGCAGATCGGTGCATGTCTGCCTGTACCTTGTGTGCCTCTGTCTCTCACCTGCAGCACTGTCCCGACTGCCAGAATTTGCCCCACGCGCTTGATGGGAAGCACGTTGATTGCTCCACAGACGAGGATGAGCGCCACACAGACAGAGGCAGATCGGTGCATGTCTGGCTGTACCTTGTGTGCCTCTGTCTCTCACCTGCAGCACTGTCCCGACAGCCAGAATTTGCCCCACGCGCTTGATGGGAAGCACGTTGATTGCTCCACAGACGACGATGAGCGCCACACAGACAGAGGCAGATCGGTGCATGTCTGCCTGTACCTTGTGTGCCTCTATCCCTCACCTGCAGCACTGTCCCGACAGCCAGAATTTGCCCCACGCGCTTGATGGGAAGCACGTTGATTGCTCCACAGACGAGGATGAGCGCCACACAGACAGAGGCAGATCGGTGCATGTCTGCCTGTACCTTGTGTGCCTCTATCCCTCACCTGCAGCACTGTCCCGACAGCCAGAATTTGCCCCACCCGCTTGATGGGAAGCACGTTGATCGCTCCACAGACGAGGATGAGCGCCACACAGACAGAGGCAGATCGGTGCATGTCTGCCTGTACCTTGTGTGCCTCTATCCCTCACCTGCAGCACTGTCCCGACAGCCAGAATTTGCCCCACGCGCTTGATGGGAAGCACGTTGATTGCTCCACAGACGAGGATGAGCGCCACACAGACAGAGGCAGATCGGTGCATGTCTGCCTGTACCTTGTGTGCCTCTGTCTCTCACCTGCAGCACTGTCCCGACAGCCAGAATTTGCCCCACGCGCTTGATGGGAAGCACGTTGATTGCTCCACAGACGAGGATGAGCGCCACACAGACAGAGGCAGATCGGTGCATGTCTGCCTGTACCTTGTGTGCCTCTGTCTCTCACCTGCAGCACTGTCCCGACTGCCAGAATTTGCCCCACGCGCTTGATGGGAAGCACGTTGATTGCTCCACAGACGACGATGAGCGCCACACAGACAGAGGCAGATCGGTGCATGTCTGCCTGTACCTTGTGTGCCTCTATCCCTCACCTGCAGCACTGTCCCGACAGCCAGAATTTGCCCCACGCGCTTGATGGGAAGCACGTTGATTGCTCCACAGACGAGGATGAGCGCCACACAGACAGAGGCAGATCGGTGCATGTCTGCCTGTACCTTGTGTGCCTCTGTCTCTCACCTGCAGCACTGTCCCGACTGCCAGAATTTGCCCCACGCGCTTGATGGGAAGCACGTTGATTGCTCCACAGACGACGATGAGCGCCACACAGACAGAGGCAGATCGGTGCATGTCTGCCTGTACCTTGTGTGCCTCTATCCCTCACCTGCAGCACTGTCCCGACAGCCAGAATTTGCCCCACGCGCTTGTTGGGAAGCACGTTGATTGCTCCACAGACGAGGATGAGCGCCACACAGACAGAGGCAGATCGGTGCATGTCTGCCTGTACCTTGTGTGCCTCTATCCCTCACCTGCAGCACTGTCCCGACTGCCAGAATTTGCCCCACGCGCTTGATGGGAAGCACGTTGATTGCTGCACAGACCAGAATGAGCGCCGCACACGACAGGAACTGCAGGTAATGCGGGAAATGATATCCCCCCCCGTTGGCGCCACCTGGGGAAAGGGGGAAGGGGGGATAGGAGGGAAAGACGAACAGCACAGAGGAGAATGAGCGTCACGCAGGCTAGGAACTGCAGGTAGTGGGGGAAGTCGTAGCCCCCCCCCCCCCCGTTGGTGCCACCTGGGGGGGAAGCAGTTGGAATAGAAGGGTACAGCACAGAGGAGAATGAACGCCACACACGACAGAAACTGCATGAGGTAATGCAGGAAGTCGTATCCGCCGCTGTTGGTGCCTCCTGGGGGAAAAGGGGGAAGCGAGAGACATGTGGCAGTGGCACACACAGAATGAACGCCACACATGACAGAAACTGCAGGTAGTGCAGGGAGTCGCATCCGCCCCCGTTGGCGCCCACTGGGGGACCGGGGAAAGGAGGAAGTGGGGCGGAAAGGGTGATGGGGGGAAGGGAGGGGGGGAAAAGGGGTAAGTAAGACGTACGTACAGCTCCACTGCACTCAAGAGGGTGAGCGCCACACAGGTTACGTTATGAGACGTCTCAGAAGTACACTTTCTACACCTTACAGCCGCACTCAAGAGGGTGAGCGCCACGCAGGTTACGGACAGCAAGTAGTGTGGGAAGTCGTATCACCCCTCTACTCATGCCACCTGGGGATGGGTTTTGAGACGTCTCAAAAGTTTTGAGAGGTCTCAAAGGTCAAGAGGGTGAGCGCCACGCCACGCAGGTTACGGACAGCAAGTAGTGTGGTAAGTCGTATCACCCCTCTACTCATGCCACCTGGAGATGGGGGAAAAGGAGAGGTGTGGTGTGGGTGGGGAAGGAACAAGAGGGGAAAGGCAAGCCGTGGTGGATGGCCTGGAAACGGGTGAAGGGGGGAAGCGGGGAGAAGAAGGGTTTTTGAGTCGACTCAAAAACAGACTCATCACACGTGGTGTGGGTGGGGAAGGAATACGAGGGGAAAGGCAAGCCGTGGTGAGATGCCCTGGAAACGGGTGAAGGGAGGAAGCGGGGAGAAAAAGGGAAGGGATGGGGGAGGGGGAGGGAAGGGAAGGGAACCCCCTGCAGCTGTGGCTAGAACTTCCCAAGTAGAGCACGAACGGACGGAGCAATCTCAGAGGCGCCTCAAAAACCGTGTCAGTTCACACGGAGGGATCTCACCACGTGGCCCCCGGGGAAGGGATGGGGGAGAGGTCTCAAAGGTCAAGAGGGGAAACCCCCCGTGGCTGTGGCTAGCACTTGCCACGTACAGCACGGAGCAATCTTCCCAACAAGGAGCACCAACCCGCCCACCCCACCCACCCCACCCACCACCCCACCCACCCTACCCAACCCCCCACCCCATCCACCCCACCCCCCCACCCACCCTACCCAACCCACCCACCCCACCCACCCCACCCACCCTACCCACCCACCCACCCCACCCACCCCACCCACCCTACCCACCCACCCACCCCACCCACCCCACCCAACCCACCCACCCCACCCCACCCCCCCACCCAACCCACCCCACCCCACCCCACCCCACCCCCCCACCCACCCTACCCAACCCCCCACCCCACCCACCCCACCCACCCCACCCACCCCCCCACCCACGCACCTGTGGCCAGCAGCACGAGCGACATGATCTGCTGGATGCCCCCAAACGCCACTCCGCCCACTCCCACCGACACCCCCACGAACTCCAGCCAGCCCTGGTGGAGAAGTGTGAGAACGTTAGAGGTGACTATGACGTCAGCTGAAGTAGTGAAGGTGACTCTTGACTTGGACATAGTTGTAGTAGTTGTAGTTGTTGTAGTAGTTTGTAGTTGTAGTTGTAGTTGTAGTTGTAGTTGTAGTTGTAGTTGTAGTTGTAGTTGTAGTTGTAGTTGTAGTTGTAGTTGTAGTTGTAGTTGTAGTTGTAGTTGTAGTTGTAGTTGTAGTTGTAGTTGTAGTTGTAGTTGTAGTTGTAGTTGTAGTTGTAGTTGTAGTTGTAGTTGTAGTTGTAGTTGTAGTTGTAGTTGTAGTTGTAGTTGTAGTTGTAGTTGTAGTTGTAGTTGTAGTTGTAGTTGTAGTTGTAGTTGTAGTTGTAGTTGTAGTTGTAGTTGTAGTTGTAGTTGTAGTTGTAGTTGTAGTTGTAGTTGTAGTTGTAGTTGTAGTTGTAGTTGTAGTTGTTGTTGTTGTTGTTGTTGTTGTTGTTGTTGTTGTTGTTGTTGTTGTTGTTGTTGTTGTTGTTGTTGTTGTTGTTGTTGTTGTTGTTGTTGTTGTTGTTGTTGTTGTTGTTGTTGTTGTTGTTGTTGTTGTTTTTTTTTTTTTTTTTTTTTTTTTTTTTTTGGTACTTAGAACTTGTAATTTCCCCGTAGACACTCCCTACAAGCTCACCAGCACTCCCAGAAACTCTAACCAGCCTTAGCGAGGGTTACAGTGAGTGAGGGTATGGAGTGATAAAAGTGGAAATCTGGGAAATGGTTAGTGATTACAGTGATGGAGTGATTACAGTGATGGAGTGATTACAGTGATGTATGCCCTCACTATCCATGCGGATAGCAATAGTTAACACTCACAGTGATCCATGCTGCAAACGGCCCGTACTTAGGGCCGGCGAGAGCAGCCGCCCAGAAATAGAGCGAGCCAGCTGTCTGTGTAGGGCAATGGGGGAGAGGAGGGGGAGGGGTGGAGAGGTGTTTTGCGCGGTGCGGTTCCAAAAAGCAGCTGCCCAGAAATAGAGCGAGCCAGCTGTCTGTGTAGGGGAGTGGGGGAGGAGAGGGGGAGGGGTGGAGAGGAGTTTTGAGCGGTTCTAAAAAGCAGACTTTGTGTGGGCAGCCGCCCAGAAATAGAGCGAGCCAGCTGTCTGTATATGGGAGTGGGGGAGAGAGGGAGAAGGAGGTGTAGAGAGATGAGGGGTGAGGGAGGAGAGGAGATTTGCGGTGTCCCAAGAAGCAGCCTCCCTGTGGAGCAGCCGCCCAGAAATAGAGCGCCAGCTGTCTGTAGACGAGTGGGGGAGGGTTGGGAGGGGCAGAAACGGAGACGAGACGAGGTTAGGTGAGGCGGAGATGAGATGAGGGGAGGGGAAGACGAGAGGAGGGGAGGAGGAAAGGAGAGGATGGGTGGGAGACGGGACGAGAAGGAAGGCAACGAAAAATGCATGTGTGCATGTGTGTGTGTGTGGGTGTGTGTGTGTGTGTGTGTGCGCGCGCGCGTGTGTGTGTGTGTGTTTGTGAGTGAGAGTGAAAGTGAGAGAGTATGTATTGGAACTCGGGCGCGAGTGTGTGAGTGAGAGTAAGAGGGAGTAAGCAGCTCACAGGGAAGGAGGAGGCGATTTCTGCAAAGGAGAGGGCGAGCAGGTGGGCAAAGAAGGCTGTGATCCACCAGAACCACACGCAGCACACCGGCCCGCCGTTGAGATACGCCGTGCTGCAAGCCCAACACCATACATGATAGGCACGAGAGGTCGTGGGGGGGAATGAATGAGGGCAGTGCGAACGAAGAAGGCAGTGATCCACCAGAGCCACACGCAGCACACCGGCCCGCCGTTCAGATACGCCGTGCTGCAGGGCAAGCATGACAGGCAAAAGAGATGAAGGGGGGGAGAATGAGGGCAGTGAAGGTCGAGCAGTGATCCACCAGAACCACACGCAGCACACCGGCCCACCGTTCATATTAGCCGTGCTGCAATAACTGTGAGTCGTGACATGCGTTTTCTGGGGGGGGAGGGGGGACTGAATTGGAAGGCGGGGTGTGAAGGGAAAAGGTTCAAATTTACGGTTTTCGTAAAATACGGTCCGTTTTTTACGGTCGTTTTTTACGGTGTTAAAAAAAAAAAACGGCCGTTTTTTTGTTAGAGAACTCTGTTCACCAAGAAAAAAAAGAGAAAAACAAGGTCAAAAACAATTTCAATCATGCCAACAAGCGCATACATGCAAGAAGGGGTCCATCCCCTTCATGCTGCTGCATTTCGGGTTCAATTTGGTCTCACTAAGTGGCCGTTTTGTTAGTTATAGAGGAAACAACTCCTGGAACCGTTTTAAACCGTTTTTTACGACCGTTTTTTACGGTACCGTTTTTTACGGTAAAATTTCAATAAAACTGTCATTTTTTTTAACCCTGGGAAGTGGTGGTATTATAAGAAGGTAAAGAAAGCAGTGAAGGAGAAGGGGGGAGGCTATTGCAGGTGGTGATCTCCTAAGGCCTCAAGCAGCAGAGCAGAGACTCAGAGAGCCCTCCATCCACCCTCTCCTTTCCCCCCTGGCTTATGAGGCGCCTCAAAAGTCACAGAAGGCAACAGGAAGCAACAGGAAGCCCAAGCACGTCACGCACGTAACCATAGTAGGGGAGAATCCCAAGAATAGGCCCATGCGCTCACCCATGTCCTCGCACGTACGTACCCATAGTAGGGGATCCCCAGGAACATGCCCACGCCACAGAACGCCACTGAGAACAGCTCGAACGAGTTCTGCAGACGAGAGAAAGAAGGGGTTACATTGTTACAGCATTTTCTTTTCAGTCGGGCCGGCTCAAAACAAAAGTGTGGAGTTTCAAGGTCACCACGGGGCAAAGAAATCCTTATGACGGTTCAGAAATCAGGATTGAGAAGTTTCAGGTTTGGGGTTAGCCGCCGCGGCAGCGGGCCGCAAAACGAAAACGGAAAACAGAGCGGCGCTTTACAGACAGGATATTGACTGAATCGTGATAGTGGCGCTCTTTGACGCGTACGAACAAAACGACGGGACGGAAATCGGAGGGAGTGGGAAACACAAGAAACAGGACGATCATGACCCGATGGCGTCATTTCCTTCAAGGACGAAAATCAGGATAACTTGCGGTGTACGCGTTATAGAGTCTCACCATGGACCGCTGCAGGTCTTGCGTGTATCCGAGCTCCATTAGCCGTTTCTCTCCAGAATCAAGCTCCAACGTAAACAGCACCCCGTCGTCTAACATAATCTCCATCGTCTTTGCTTTCCCCTCCCCGGCATCTCCGCCTTCCCCGCCTTCCGCTCCGCCAACGTGGATTCCCCCGTCTTCTTTCACGAGCGCAACCACCGCAGCCCCCTCGAAAGCGCAGCCTTCGCGGAACAGCTCGTCTTCCTCTGACTGCACGATCGCCGATTCCGTCGCCGTCGCCATAATTTTATGGTTGTCGATGGTGTAAACAATTTTATGTCTAAATGGAAAGTCGTACGGCTATTTTGGATTGAATACTGTTTTACGAAATTTTCCAAGGGAAAAAACGGACGGCTGATATATAATTTGCGAGTTAGGAATGGCGTTCGAGTTAGTAGCGCCTCGAGGCGTACTGACAGGGTGCTAGTTTCCCGTGACTCCGAGAGAATTTTGAATCGACAGCGACGCACTGAAAAAAGGTGAAGTTAGTGAGTCTTTTTAATAACATATGCATGCCGCGACAATGCGGTCCAAGCTGCTCTAGATACTACGGCGTTCCCGAGAAAAACGATGAGTTTCGCGACGGGGAAAACGAGAGGGGGTTACGTTCGGGTTTCCGAAGCGCGCGGTCACGAGTCGGCGGGTGTCGTTGCTAAGTTAGTACGTAGCAAGGGCGGCTGCATTGCTCAGGACGAAGACGGCTCACCTCAGTTCAATAGTAATAATCTGAACATCCGTGACTTGGAGTGTGAATTAATCACGGACGAGCAATTGCAAATTAGAGAAACTTACTAAAATCGGCTCCAACGATGTATTTTCCTGGAATAGTATTGCCTTTATCAGGCAAGGAACCGAAGCCAGTCGTAGCTAGCAGCGCTGCGCAGCAGAGGGGAGGCAACCGTTACAGCTTGGAGTTTTTGGTAGGAGGGAGGGAAGGGAAGGGAAACTTTTGTTGAGCAAGTGGAATGGTTCGAGCATGTCCGCCACAGCCGCACAGCAACTAGAAACGGACAGCTCTTGGGCAGGTTCACTCAAAGATTTGGTGGTACCTGCAATTAGGGCGTATCTTAGAGCTCGGCCCTCAAAGAACCTACCGAACCACTTGAACATGTAACTAAATCTTCCTGAAACACACGGAACCGTATTAGTTCTCTGAGGGAAAGCAATCATCATCACTGATAGTTGCGGTACGGTGCAAACTGTCAGAGCTCGGTGCAACGTTCATACACCTCGGTGGGGCGTCACTTGCAAACGCTGCAACTAGACAAGCGGAAGGAGGAGAGGAGCATGTCTTGCTTTTCCATTTCGGTCAAGATTGAGCAGGTGTTTGAAAGCACTTAAAGAGTGTCCCTTAAAGAATACGGGGGCCACGGGGGGTGTTCTCAGCGTTGGAAGGCTACTTGTCGTACGTTCAACGCTCATGAATTAACTGTCTCTACTGAGTGCCAACAATTTTTCTCACTGGCGCTTACTATGTAAAAATGGGTCCACGTAAAGAAGCATCAGGCTAAGGTGCACACTAGCGAGTGCATCACGGATTCCTCAATTACTCTCTCGTGGTGCTGAGGAACATTTTCCTAAGTGCCGAGTGCATCAGAACTCGATGGGGATAGGATGACCGGATTATGGAACAGATGGTGGTTCCAACAAGCCTTACATAGCATGGGAAGTTTCAAATATTGCTCTATAATTTCCAGGACTGATCAAAAGCATCTCCAGTTGTGGCCTGGGGAGGGAGGGGAGCGGGGATGAGCGGTAGGTGGGAACTGTCACTCCACTCCGTTTTCATTTCCAGTGGTGCAGTTCGGTTCTTTGCGGCACATCAGTTCCTTTGTTTGACAGCGGTCTTGGGTGTAGCACCGCGCACTTTCCATTTGTAAAAACACGATCAATAAAACACAGAACCGTGAGTTTTTACGTAGGTTTTAATAGTTTTTCTCACAAAACTGGTGTCGCCTCCCTCCAACAACGCGTACAAACGACAGTCATCACCACCTGGAAGCTCCTGCCCTAGCCTCAGCAAACCAGACACGTGTCGATTATGGCGCTTCTAGCGGGCGCTCCACCCACGCTTATGCCTAATGTGGTTACATCACGAACATGCGCGACTGCCGTGTTACCATTCGCCTCACATTGCGCATCCATTGAATCTTCTCGAGCCCATCTCACAACCTCCCGAAATCTCTCCCTCATTTCTCCACGAACCCCGCCTTTTCACCGACTCGCCTCGAGGTCCGAGCGTAGCCGAACTGGTTTCGTGACCCGCGCTTCGGCGGACAGTTCGGCGGAGCGCGATTCCGAATCCTCAAGGAAAGTGCGCGAGGGAGAGGAGCAGGCGGTGGGGGAAGAAGCGGAGGAGGAAGAGGAGGAGGATGAGGAAGTGGAGCTGGAAAAGTGCCATTTTGGGGGGAAAGAACTGGAGCGGTTCGTGAAAATCAACGAGGGCCAGTGGCGTGGCGCGTTTCTGGTGAGTTAGACGCACTAATGATGGTGAATCATCACGACAGAGATGTCAAAGGACAGACGGGCCGCGGCGTATGTTACGAGCGGAATTCTTGAGTCCGCTCAGAATCACTTTCACAAGTCAGGCTTACTCTTTTGAAAATAACTTGGGGGCTGCTGCTGCTGCTGCTGCTGCTGCTGCTGCTGCTGCTGCTTGGGGGCTTCAAGGCACGGCTGTTGTATTGAGAACCCAAGGGCTGTAGCCTTCAAAGATGAGCCCACGGTTCTGTTTTAAACCTTCAGGCATGCCCACTGGGGTTGATGTTTGGGGTTTAAGTTTGGGTCTCAGTCTCGGATGAAGGTTTGGGGTTTAAGGCCTCGGGTTTATGTTTTGTTCAAGCTCATAGTACTTTGTTCTTCCCATTCATGCTCCCCAATCCCTCCCTCCTTTCTTTTTGCTTCAATCTCCTAATCTTAGCCCTTCCCCCCACCCACCTTCACCTCCGCTCCCCTTCTCCCCTTCAACCCCCCTTCACCTCCCCACCCCTTCTCTCCTTCTCCCCTTCAACCCCCCTTCACCCGCACAACAATTCTGAATGCCGCCTGATACACAGAGAGCCCACCCAACCGCCTCTCTTCTCCTCCCCCTTGCCTCTCCCCACCTTCCTTGCCCCTTCCCCCCCGCTTCCCCCTCTCTCCGCCCAACCCCCCCCTCCCCTCCCCTCCCCCCACCAGCACTACGATCTGAACGGCCGTCTGCTGCACAGAGTGCCCACCCGCCTCTCTGCTACAGCCTCTGGGCGGGGAGAGAACAGCTCCCTGCTACAGACGTGAGTCTCTGCTACAACTTCTAGACGTGGTAATTACTGCGTTTTGTTTCATTACTGAGCCTTAGGTCTCTCCGTTCCTCTGCACCTCTCACCACCCGCTGCCACCTCTCACCATTCCCCTCCCCTCCTCTCAGCTCCAGCCCAAGTCGATTATGCAGCAATCTTGTTCTCGCTCTCGCTCTCGCTCATAGAAGAACTGCTAGCAATTTTCGTCTCCTCTGCTCCTTGTTATCTTCCACCTCTCTTCATTCCCCCCCTCCCATTTTCTCACCATTCCTGTCCCCTCTTCTCACCATTCCCGTCCCCTCCTCTCACCATTCTTGTCCCTCTTCTCACCATTCTCCCTCCCTCCTCCTCAACAGGTTGAGTGTGAAGCAAGCGTGCACAAGTGGGGAGGAGGTGGGAGGGGAGGAATGGGTGGAAATCAAACTAGAGGAGGTCAACCGGATCACAGCAGCCAATCGCCTTCAGGCACGTGGCAGAGGATTTTTCACAATAGAGAATGATTAAGATGGCTGGCTCGTGTAAAAATAGTATTTTTGAGACGTCTCAAAAATAGAGAATGATTAAGATGGCTGGCTCGTGTAAAAAGAGTATTTTTGAGACGTCTCAAAAATAGAGAATGATTAAGATTGCTGGCTCGTGTAAAAAGAGTATTTTTGAGACGTCTCAAAAATAGAGAATGATTAAGATGGCTGGCTTGTGTAAAAAGAGTATTTTTGAGACGTCTCAAAAATAGAGAATGATTAAGATGGCTGGCTCGTGTAAAAATAGTATTTTTGAGACGTCTCAAAAATAGAGAATGATTAAGATGGCTGGCTCGTGTAAAAGGGGTATTTTTGAGACGTCTCAAAAATAGAGAATGATTAAGATGGCTGGCTCGCGATGATGCTTGGGCTGTCAGCTCGGTTTTGTCGGGTTGCTATGATGTGACACATCGTTGTGACATTGCAACCCGCGGGAGGCACATAGTACATTGTGCCTCTTCCTACCCTACCCCTCATTTCCTCTACTCTCCTTACCCCGGCTGCCCATACCCCTCACTTCCCCTACCCCCACTCCCTATCCCCGCTGTATCTCCACTCCACTCTGTCCCTCGACCCCATCCCTCACACAGTGAGGGCAGTCACATGCCGCTCTTTCTTTTGCATTTCCACTCCCATCTCTCTGACATCCCATTCCATTTCCAATCCCATCTCTCTGACATCCCATTCCAGTTCCAATCCCATCTCTCTGACATCCCATTCCATTTCCAATCCCATCTCTCTGACATCCCATTCCATTTCCAATCCCATCTCTCTGACTCCCCTCTCCTCTGTATGCAATTCAGGTCGCCTGGTTCCCAGACTACAGGGCATACGCGCTGAGCCACCAAACCGCAGAGGACTTAGTGAGGGCGCTGGCAGTGGGGGTGGTGGGAGCAGAGGCAGCAGATGCCGACGAAGCAGCAGAGGTCATCCGAGGGGTGAAGCTGCCGTCCCGCCGCCCGGCTCTCGTCAGCGAAACCTGCCTCTTCCTCTCCGAACCAGTTTCCGAAGCAGGTTCCGAACCAGGTTCCGAGCCTCCTGCCGAAGCAAGCTCAGAAGAAGATGTAACTTGGGGGAATCGGAGGGTGCGCACATTCCATGTGCTGGACTCCAAGGGAATGATCGACACCCTGGGAGTGTTTGTGGAGGAGAGGGAGGGAGCGGGTGAGGATGGTCCAGGGGCAACAACAGCCCATGCCAGAGAGTTATTGGGAGGTGAGTCAGTGAAAAGGGAGAGGGTGGGAGGGGGCGTGCATTCCATGTGTTTGACTCCAAGGGAATGATCGACACTCTTGGGGTGTTTGTGGAGGAGCGGGAAGCAGCGGGTGAAGCTGGTCCTGGCGCTACGCCACCCCGCTAGCGAGTCAAGATGGTCAAGATAGTCAAGATAGTCAAGATGGTCAAGATAGTCAAGATAGTCAAGATGGTCAAGATAGTCAAGATAGTCAAGATGGTCAAGATGGTCAACATGGTGACGACAAGTCGGAGCACTTTAGAGAGCTACTGGAGGTGAGTCAATGAAAGAGGAGAAGAGAAGGCGGGTTGTGCGTTACATGTGTTGGATTCAAAGGGAATGATCGACACTCTTGGGGTGTTTGTGGAGGAGCGGGAGGGCAGCAGGGAAGGATCAAGTGAAGAAGGCACATGGGTCCATGGCAAAGAGTTGATAGAGGCGAGTCAATGAATGAAAGAGGAAGAGGTGGGTGCGAGCGTTCCATGTGCTGAACTCCCAAGGGTACGATCGACACCCTTGGGGTGTTTTTGGAGGAGTGGGAGGGAGCGGGGGTGAAGCTGGGTCATCCCAGAACCCAGGGACGACGGCAGCCCATGCGAGAGGGCTTCGGGAGGTGAGCCTATGAAAAATCGGTGGGTGCGTGGATTCCGTTCCATGTGCTGAGGTTTAGGGAAATGATATTCACACTGGGGGTGTTTTTGGAGGAGTGGGAGAAAGTGGGTGAAGCTGGGTCAGGCGCAACAACAGCCCATGCCAGAGAGTTATTGGGAGGTGAGTCAGTGAAAAGGGAGAGGGTGGGTGAGAGCTTTCCATGTGTTGGACTCCCAAGGGGATGGTCGACACCCTTTGGGGTGTTTTTGGAGGAGAGGGAGGGGAAGGAAGAAGATGGTCCAAGGGCAACAGCAGCAGCCCATGTCAGAGAGCTTCTGGAGGTTGAGTCAGTGGAAAAGGAGAGGGTGGGTGCGTGCGAGCTTTCCATGTGGGCAACGGCAGCCCATGCCAGAGAGCTTCTGGAGGTGAGTGAATTACTTTTGAAAGGAGAGGTAGGGTGCGCGGGTTCCATGTGTTGGACTCAAAGGGGGATGCATCCACAGAGGACACGCTGGGGGTGTTTGTGGGGGGGGAATGGAGAAGGAGCGGGTCAAGATAGTCAAGATAGTCAAGATAGTCAAGAAAGTCAACATGGTCAGGTCAGATTGGCCTGCTCCTAGCATGGACCAAGGGGTCATCTTCACATGTTGGCCCATGCCAGAGAGTTGCTGGAGGTGAGTCAGTGAAAAAGGAACAGGTGGGGTCGTTTATTTCGTGCACATCCACCACCCACATCCACCACCCACCGGTCTTCAGTTGCTCCCTTCCTATTTTTTGAGTCGACTCCCTTCCTTCCAAAAATAGGCCCTTCCTTCTCCCCTCCCTCTGCCCTCCGGTCCTCTTCCTGCTTTTCTGGCGCAACCCGACCCGCTCACTGCCCTGATCCCCCCCTCCCGCCTGGCTCTACTGCTGGGCGAGTGGGACGGCACTTCACCACCCACCGGTCAAGCACTCACCATCCCTACGTTGCTCCCTTTCCCCCACTTCCGCCCTTATCCCTCCACCCTCCCTCCTCACCAGACGCAACCAGACGACCCCAGCGCCCTGATCTTCCCCTCCCGCCTGGCTCTGCTGCTGGGGGAATGGGATGGCACCTGCACCACCCACCAATCAATCACCACCCTTTTCCTCCCCACTCCCTTCTCCTCGTCAGGCGCAACCAGACCCCACCAACGCCCCGATCCCCCACTCCCGCCTTTCACTACTGCTGGGCGAGTGGGACGGCACCTCCACCACCCACCGATCCGCCATCTATGGGGAAACCGTGACTCACTCCACCTCCAACTTCTTCCTCACTCGCTTCAGTGATGGGAGCCTGGGCCTGGTGAGTCACCCTCCCTTATTGCCTCCATCATAGCCCACCATACTCCACCACACCACCCACCGATCCGCCATCTATGGGGAAACCGTGACTCACTCCACCTCCAACTTCTTCCTCACTCGCTTCAGTGATGAGAGCCTGGGCCTGGTGAGTCACCCTCCCTTATTGCCTCCTTCCTCCCTCCTCCACCTCCACCACCCACCAGTCCGCCATCTATGGGAAGATGGTGACCCACTCCTCCTCCAACCTTTTTCCTCACCCGCTTCAGTGATGGGAGTTTGGGACTGGTGAGTCACCCGGCCTTGTCGCCTCCTTCCTCCTTCCCTGAAGGGCCTGCTACGAGTTTTGGGTCGACTCAAAGCTCGACTCACTTTTGAGTCGACTCAAAGCTCGACTCACTTTTGAGTCGACTGAAAACTTGTCTCCTCCATCCTCCTTCCCTGAAGGGCCTACTACATGCCGTTCTCCCCCCCACCAAACTCGTGCTTCCTCCACCCCTTTTTGCCAACACCTGTTCACACATGCTTTCTTACACCAGGAAGAGACAGGGGGTGACCTCTTCTTCAGGTGGAGGGGAGCCGTTGCAAGCCACTCAGAGGCAGCCCCTGAAGGGGCTTCTTCATTCCGTCCCCTTTCAACTCTCCCCTATTCTTTAATTCTTTTCCACATGCGTTCCTACACCAGGAGGAGACACGGGGTGACCTCTGCTTCAGGCGGCGAGGTGCCGTTTCCAACCACACAGAGGCAGCTCCCAAAGCTGAGGCCACCTCTACCGAAGCTGCAGCCTCGGAAGATCAGGCTGGGCAGGAGCAGCGGGACGGGGGCGGGCGCGTTGTGCTAGACGGAGGGCAGCAGATCACCCTCCTTCCCGGCGGTCTCGCTCTCTCCGCCCCCTGCTGTGTGCCCCGCGGCCGAGCTTTCTTCTTTGAAACCATCCTGGCGGAACCAGAGGAGGGAGAGGGGGCAGGGGCTGGGGTGGAGAGGCAAGGAGGCGAGGGGGTGGGGGTTGGGGTGGCTGGAGCAGAGGGGTGGTGGCGGCGGCGAGTGGTTCGGACGTACGATCCGGATGGGTTGGTTGTTTCCAGCTCAGTGTTCGCTGAGAGGAAGCTGGGATGAGAGGAAGGTGCGGGGGTGCTAGACGGATGGCAGCAGATCACCCTCCTTCCCGGCGGTCTCGCTCTCTCTGCGCCCTGCTGTGTGCCCCGCGGGCGAAAATTCTTCTTTGAAACCATCCTGGCGGAACCAGAGGAGGGCAAGGGGGCGGGGGTGGGAGTTGGGGAGGAGGGGCAAGGAGGTGAGGGGATGGGAATTGGGGTTCCTGGAGTGGAGGGGTGGCAGCGGCGGCGAGTGGTTCGGACGTACGATCCGGATGGTTTGGTTGTATCCAGCTCAGTGTTTGCAGAGCGGAAGTTGGGGTGATGGCAGCATGGTGTCCTTTTGAGGCGCCTGAATGAGCGGAAGTTGGGGTGATACGGTATCAGATACGGTATTAGCTGAGAGAACGATGGGGTATTGGTAGATGAGATGGCATGGCTGGCAGTGATTTCTGAGTTGAGTTAACTCAATAAAGTGGTTCTGATGTACGATCCGGATGGCATTGCAGTGACCAGCTTGAGACAAAATAGCTGCTAAGAAGAGAATTCAGTTTTCCCCCCTCTTTTCTTGAGCTGTCTCTGAATACATACGGTACATACATTGTAGAAAGATTGCAAATACGGTAGCCATATTGCCCCACTACTCTCCCCCTTCCTCCTCCTCCCCCTCCTGCTTCTGTCCCCCTTTCCCCCCCACCCCCACTCCTTGCTGTATACCCTCTACCACTTCCCTCTTTCTCTCCTCTCCCCATCCCGATGTTTAACCACAAAGCATGTCACTGGAAAGATGTAACCAAGGTCATTTTACTAACTAACTTACGGTACCGTAAGTAATGGATACAGACTCTGTACTACAGAGGAAGTGTGACAAAAGAACACTCCAAAATCGTATTTATTTCGTACCCATACAGAGAATGATCCACCATCCAACTGTTGTCTACATTCAGCATGTTCTAGAGCGATCTCAGAACAGTCTGAATGTACGCAACGCTGTCCCCAACCACCAGCCAGCCTTCTATCAAACAAGCAATTTAGCCACAAACGCGGACGAGAGCCTACCAAAAATCCAGCTTCCCAGAGATCGACCCGCCGAACACAACAAACATCTTGGGCGCGCGGCGATGGTTACCCGTGTTCTGCAGGCTTTTGAGACACCTCAAAGGTCAAACGCGGACGAGAGTCTACCAGAAGTCCAGCTTCCCAGAGATCGTCCCGTTGCCGCGGAACACAACAAACATCTTGGGCGCGCGGCGACGGCCGTTCGTGTTCTGTAGACCGGCCATAAGCGCAGCGCCATCCATGGTACCGTACAGAGTGTAGGCTGTGCCCCAGCGAACCCAGGTGGAAGTCCAGGTGCCGGGCAGATCCGTAACAGTGGTTGGAGTTACCAGCGTGTCGCAGGGGTTACCGGTTACGACAGACTGTGAGGTGGGGGCTGAAGTGGTTCCTGTAACGAGCAGCTGATAGGTGAGAGTCAGGGAGCCGTTCCTGACGGAAAGGGGAGTATAAGGAGGGCAAGGGAAACAAGATTTAGAACGTGGGGAGGACGGAATGTGGGAACCAGCAAAGAACCAACACAAACACTCGAAATGCAGGCTTGATCGAAATGGGGAGATATCGTTACCATGATATAGAAAGGGAAGGAGAAGGAGAGGGGGGCAGGGGGAAGGAGGGGGGTGGGAGAGTTGGGAGGATGGGGATGGTTTTTTTTTTGGGGGGGGGGGGGAAGGGCGGGGGGGATGGGGAGAGGTTGGAGAGGGGAGGGAGGGACTCACTGTGACTGATAGTTCTTGAGCGCGGCAGATCCCCTGACGCCATAGACGCGAGGGCACGATTTCAAGGAAGACTCGCCGGATGCTGCATTCCGCGCAAACAACAGCCGTGGCAAACGAGAACGAGGTAACGTCACGCTGTGAAAAAACTCGTGGTGAACTCCTCTCGGAAAAAAGAGCACACAACTGCATTTGAAGGGATGGCGAATTGATGCGGATGGGTGTGGCGACTCACCAATGAGAATGGGCCAGCGGAACCGCCCGTTGCCGCGTCCGCCGCGACCGTTGCCATGGGCCTGGACGGAACAACCTGCATCCACCCCACCGCGTCGACATCAACGAATGACAAGGATGAGAGCAAGGCCAGCGTCTCGGCTTATAGGATGAATGCCAATTTCAGGAAAAAAATGTCCCCAAATAAAAACTAAAATAATAATAAAAATAAACAAAATAGAACTACCGATGCAATTATGAGCTGAGTAACATGCAGCGCAATTGAGAGTGGTCTCTTACAAAGAGCGGCGAGGATGAGGCCGAGGAAGACGATCGCTGCGGAGGATTTCATCGTGCCGCTGTGGTGCGACGACTTAGGCGATCGACGACGGTGAGGATGAGATAATTCAGAACCGAACAACTCGCGGATACGGAATACTTGTACTCGAAGGTGCTGTTTCGATCTGTGAGAGAAAGCAGGATGATCGATAGATGGACTCCATTTCCTTTTGTACTGCTCCAAACTTCCTCGTCAGACGCGACGCGAAGGTCCCCCCGAGAACGAAGTTGGCGGTGGGAGGAGGAATAAACGAGATCGGACAGCGCAGCGACTCGTGGAGGTTGGTTGGTCGGCGTCAAGTGGGGGGGTTGTTTGGGGGAGGTAGGTGAGTTGGGAGAATCTTCCTGTTTTGGAAGCTGAGGAGATATGGCGGCTGGGTTGAGGAAAATCGAGGACGTGCAGCAGCAACGGCTTGGTGATGTGCTGCACATCCCAAACAGGTTGGCAGCATTAGGATCTTTCTAAAACTACCTTAACCCATCCCAACCCACACAAGATTCAATTGTGAACAGAGCCACGTGTAACAGGCGAAAAGCGCTGTCCACTTGTTTCGTGCTTGCAACTTACTGTACATGCGAGTTTTTTAACAGCGGGTTCAGAGGTGGCGGTTTTTTCAGCAGATTCAGCCGCCACGCCATGCTTTCAGCGGTGTAGATCGAAAAGCTGTTCCACGGTATTCAAGCACACCCACCCACCGCCCACAAGGGTGACACTCTGGCCACGTGACATGGATGGTCCGAGAAATACAGCACATGGCTGCGGCTTGAGTCAGAAAGGTAGGTTAAATTGTTGTACCTCTGTTAAGGTAGCTTCAGTAACATGAAATACTGAGTATCTCATAATGTACCCCACGTTGGTATAAGTACCATATGGATCCTAGTTGCCTTCTGTCGTTCCTTGCTGCAGCAGCAACTCTCCTTTGCAACACAGTTTCAGATTCTGAACACATTTTCGGAAACTGCTCATCAAGAGCTTCAGATCGACACCATTATTGTGTTCACACAGCGAACATTTGGTCGTCGACAGTGCTCGTTCAGTATCCCCTTTTGAGTTCTATAAGAGCATACAACGCTTAAGGCACCCAAGATTGTCAACTTTTGTAGTCTTAGTGCTGTGTGTCATAGGGAGTACAACTTTTAGGGTTAGGTTTATGTACCCCAACCAACACTTTCATTCGCACCCCCCCGGTGCGCCCTGTCCGTCCGTCGCACTCCGTGCGCCCTGCCGGTCGCGTCGCGCCCGTCCCATCCGTCCCGTCTATCGCGTCCTGTCCGTTCCGTCCCGTCCGTCCCGTCTATCGCGTCCCGTCCGTTCCGTCCCGTCCGTCCGTGGCGTTTGTCCGTCGCGTCCCCCCCCCCTCCCCCACCTTTGGCCCGTGCCGTCCGTCGCGTCGCGCTCCCCCCTGTTCGTCCCGTCCGTCCCCCCCCCCCCCCTCCCCCCCCAAGTCCGTCCCGTCCATCGCGCTCCCCCCATCCGTCATGTCCGTCGCGCCGTGTGCGCCCAGCCCGTCGCATCATCAGCGCCGCGCCAGCCCGTCTCGCCACGCCGCGCCAGCCCGTCCCATTGCGCTGTGCCCAGCTCGTCCCGCCGCGCCGCGGGACGTCCTGTCCTGCCGAGCCGCGCCTTCCTGCCCGTCCCGTCGCCTCGTGCTGCCTATCCTGCTTACCGCGCCCTATCCTAACGTCCTATAGTGCACTGAGCTTCTTGCACTACCTGTCATACCCTTCTCAGGCTTTTTCAGAGTTTAGGGTTTCAGCAGTGACAGTTCCACCCGCTCAATACAGCTATGATGACCCCTAGGGTGCTGCGCTTTGACGCCGACGGTAGGCCGCTCGAGTTTTCTGTCTGGCTCCTGCATGCGCAGCACCTCCTCGAGAGTCAGGTCCAGGCAGGCAAGTCTCTGTGAACACACGCTTCCGGTGTCCTTCCTGCGCCCGACAGCCCTACGCCTTTAGGCACTGCCCCCGACGACGCAACTAGAGAATGTTATGCACGCGAGCGTGCTGACGTGACGGCGTGGAAGTCGCGTGACGCTGTGGCCTGCATCGCCCTCAGCAGCCTCCTCCCTGAGTCTGAAGAGACCCACTTTACTCAAGTTCGCACGGCTAGTGAGTTCCTGACTGCGATCAAGGCCCACTACGCTACTCGCAACACTGTCTCTCTTGGTCGCCTCGTTCCTGTTCCTTCCGTTCCTGTTTCCTGACCTCGCCTCGTTTGAGCGCACTGCGAACTTGATTACTCACCTCCGCTCGCTCGATTCTAGCTACCGCGCTGCTTGCACTGACGCACAGCTTGCACTACTTCCTCCCCCCATTGCAATTACTATTTATTTCATCGCCACTAGCCTCCTTGACCTCTTTGCCTCGGTTCGTGATGCGCTTCTTTTGAAGCACCCTACTGAGCTCACTATCGGGGTCCTTGAGTCTGCGCTCAAGGATGTCGAGAGCAACCTCCGCTCCATAGCCTCCACCTCTGGTGCTGTGCCCCCTCCGCTGTTTCACGGGTGCACTGTCCCTCAGCTGCCCACCTTCACTGCCTCCCTCGCCACTGTCGCTAGTGACGTGATCGCAGCTGCTGTTACGACTTCTTCGTGGTCTCGGGGTAGGAGTGGCAGGAGGGGTGGTCAGGGTGCGGGCGGAGGCGGCGGAGGCAGCGGGGGTGACGTTGTGAGCGGTGGCGGTGGGAGTGCAGGGGCTGGAGGAGCTCCTCGTGCAGCGGCTGGTGACTCCACTGCAGCGGCTGGTGGAGGTGACGCCCTGGTTCGTCAGCCACCTACAGGCCTGCCAGACGCAGGGGGTGGAGCAGCGGCGTGGTACCTGACTCGGCAGCACCAGCAGCTGCAGCCCCCCCTCCTCGCAGCAGCCACAGCAGCAGCAGCGGCAGCAGCAGGTTTTGGTGCAGGGGTCAGGACAGCGTCAGTTGCAGCGCGGTGTCGTCCACCCTCCCTGCACCTATCACGTTCTGACATGTGCTCGCCGCGGCCAGCCTTGTGGCCGCAGCCACACACCGGGTCAGTGCGTTGCTCAGCTTACTGACACGGTTCGTTTAGCCTACGGCGTTGGCGGCCCTGCCCCTGACTGGCTTCCCCTTGTTCAGACGTATGGCCCCGGTTTGTGGGGCATGGCGGCTTCTCAGTTGGTTGATCTCTTAGGAACTCCTCATGCTATGTATGCTGTTGTTGACTCTAGTGCTTCTGACTCTGTTTACTCGAGTGTTGTTAGCTTAGGTGCTAGACTTGCTGAGCTACCTGTTGCTAGTGCATGTACTTGTGTAGACACTAGTTCAGGAGCTGCTCCGGAGGACGCTTCGCTTTCTTTCACTCTGGACTCCGAAGCTTCGCATTGTTTATTACGCGATTGCACGACACTTACCCCGCTTCCCACGCCGGTCTCTGTAGCACTGGTTGATCCCACTTCGGGACCAGTCACTGCTCGCTACACTACTACGCTTCCGTGCTCGGCTGTTCCCTCCGGTTCTCCGACCGGCTTCCACGTCCCCTCATTCTCGAGGAACTTGGTGGGCGTGAGGCCGCTCGTGAGTCAGCACATGGGTGTGTGGATTGAGCATTCTGGCAAGACTGCGGTTTGTGTTGACGGGGACACGTACGCGCCTCTCGCCACCTTTACCGCTGAGCCAGGCTCTGGTCTCTACACACTTCACACTGGCCCCTGTGTGCAGCAGCAGTAGCAGCAGCAGCAGCAGCAGCAGCAGCGGCTACTGCCCCCACCCCTTACTCCTCCTCCCTTCGTCCGGCCACTGAGCCTTTTGAGACGCTCCACTTGGACGTCTGGGGCCCCGCCTCTCGCCTTGGCCCTGAGCGTGAGCGTTTCTTTCTGGTGGTCGTTGACGACTACTCCACAGTGTTCCCCCTGGCGAAGAAGTCTGAGGTGACTTCCACGCTGATCAGGTGGTTGCTTACCACAGAGGATACTCGTGGCCGTCGTGTCAGCTGTCTTCACTCCGACCACGGGGGTGAATTTTGCTCCAGCGTTCTCGCTGGATTCTGTCGCGAGCATGGCATTCGTCAGTCCTGGATGCTTCTAGAGTCCCCACAGCAGAATGGGTTTGCTGAGCGCCGCATAGGCTTGGTCATGGAGATCGCCCGCACCTCCTTGACTCACACCCGTGCCCCCCATTTTCTGTGTCCCTACGCGGTTAGGTACGCCGCTCACCAGCTGAACCTCTGGCCACGTGTCTCTCGGCCAGAGGTTTCACCGACTAGTCTTTGGACCGGGTCCCCTTGTGTTGGGTCGCGGTTTTGAGTCTGGGGTTGCTTGGCTCTTGTTCGCAACACCTTCGCGGACAAGATCTCGACTTGCGCCGTTCCCTGTGTCTTCCTTGGTTTCCCAAAGGGCTCCTTTGACTTCACCTTTTACCACCCTCCCCTTCACCGGTTCTTTGACTCCCGTGACATCACTTTCGACGAATCCGTCCCCTACTACGTCAGGTACCCCTGCCGAGGTCTCCCGGTTCCTGCTCCCCCTCTCTTTCTGACTTTCGCTCCCCCTACCCGACCCGGCTCCAGGCTCGTGTTCGACGTTCCCGTGAGGAGCAGCTGGAGTTGGAGAGAGAGGAGCTAGAGTTGCAGCGGCTGGAGGAGCAGCAGCAGCAACAACATCAGCAGCAGCAGGAGCAGCAGCGGCAGCCGCAACTGGAGCCGCCGCAGCCGTAGGAGGAGCAGTGGCAGCTACAGCAGGAGCAGCAGCAGCCGCCGCAGGAGCAGCAGCAGCAGCAGCCGCCTCCTCCTCCTGTCTCCGATCTTCGGACCCTCGGTCTCCCCTCTCGCTCTCCTTCCTCTTCCCCTTCTCCTCCTGTCTACGGTCCCGCGTTTCCTCCTCCTGACTCCTCCCCAGCTATTGACACTCGTTCTCTGCCTCCGCTGTCTCCTCCTCCTTCGCACGCTTGGCCCTCTCGTTGCTCTCTTCGTGCTCTGTTCCGTCGTAGTCCGCCTTGTTCGTCTCCGTCTGTGCTTCCGTCTCCCCATGAGTCGGCCCTCAATGCTTCCCTCTCTA